TTGAGATGGACTTAATGAACTATTTAAAAATTATATTCATATGTACAAGACCATGCATTATATAAATTAAATAATTTAACGAATGTTTTTAAGAACAAAATTTATGCAAAAAACATATTTAAATAATCATATATCCGCTCCCCTTCCTGTTAGTATTTTTATTATTATCACCATTTAGTATTTTCAGTAATTAAAAAATCTCTGAATTAGTCATTGTTTGGTTGTCACGTGACAGCATAATTCAGGAAGCATGATGAATTGACCATCCTTTACATACGTGTCGACCCTGGCTGTGTCTTGGTGGCATGGATTTCAGAATCTGGTTTACACAAATGGTGGCATTAAAGAGTTATTAATGACGTTTGGGTGTAACTTAAATAGTTAGAATAAATGGGAATTTGAGTAAGGACAAGCGACTTCTTTTAGGTGCTGTTTGGTTCAAGTCAAAATTTTAGTTCATTAGAAAAATGTAATTATCAGGGATCTATGAAAAGTGAATTAGATAAAAAAGTTAAAAAAAAAGTTGTTAGGTTGAGACAAATTTTACCAAGTAAATTGATTAAAATTTGTGTTACTTATGTTTGGTTGAGGAGAAAATAATGATGGGTAAATTGTATAATATTACAAATATAACTCCAATAACCATGTCCAATAAAAAGCATGTCCAATAAAATTACAAATATATCGGGTATTTTGGTCTGGGTTGACTTTCACCTTTTGCCATTTACCTAACTAACCAACAAAAACCATGTCCAAAATGTCTTTCGTAACAGTGATTGATGCGATGCTCGATTTCTACGACCAAATCTGAAAAGCTATGCAAATAGAAAGCCCATCTTAATTTTAAGAAACTGCCTATCAAACAAAAACTTCAACTATTGCCAAGTTGATTTGCATGAACGACTTTAAAGAAAGCCCCAACCAAACAACACCTTACAAGTTCATAAATGTATAGCGGTTGGGTTAATAATTAGATTTCTTTGATGCAATTGCAATTGTTTTTGGGTTTTATGAGAGTTATGTTGTAAGAAAAGTGATTGTGTAATGTTATAGAGATTCGTTTTGCGTGCCATAATTTTTTTTTTCTTCAAAAAGTATGGGTCCCACAAAATATTGTGTGTGTAGAAAAATTTATTGTGTCATGTTAAATAACAAATGCAAACCCCTTATTTTTTCTTCTCTTCTTCAATTGAGAAATTAAGCCACTTCATTTTTTTTTTAAAAAAGAATTTTTTTTAACGAATAAAAAGAGAGGAAAAAACTATAAGCTCCCAATATGAGCTTTCAGTTTTTGGGTTTTAACTTTTTTTCTAGAAATATATATATATATATATATATATATTTCTTGAATTTAGTTATTATTTCATTTATATTCCTATTTTTTTTTTATTTTAACCCTTATTGTTGTAATATACATCCCTTATTAAATTTAGATTTTTAAATTTCTTTTAAGTTAAAAAAAATTAAGCCTAAATGGCTCTAATTTACTGCTAATAAAAATGTAACGAATAAATGAGTTAACGGCAAGTTTATAATATATATTTGTATTTGGCAGGTGATTAGTGATAGTTTGCAAATTGAGACGATATTGTAACTTATAAAGCATGGTTTGATCAATTAAGCGTCCAAATCTTAACATCATATGATATATAGGACTTGTTTAATGAGAATCTTAACTTCTATTTTTTTAGTGCTTTGATATATGAACGTTATATATATTGATTAATCAATGTAATTATAATATCCCTTAGACCCTTACTATACTATTACTAGCTAGTTCCTAAATTTTATTAATAAAAAGCAATAACTTTTTTTTTCATACAATGTTTTATTCATTATTTGAAAGTAAAATTAATTCTCACTCTAAATATTGAAATTATTACTTTACATAAGTTTTTTTTTTCATAGAACAAAAAACAACATTGTTTTTTTCACATTATTTGAAAATAAAATAATATATACCCACTATGAATACTCAAATTCTCTCTCTCAATAAGAATTAGGTGTCATAATAAGCGTATTGAAATTTTAAAAGAATGATCGAAATTGAAACTCTAAAAAAAAAATTGTAAAAATGTATTTTAATTGGAATATTACTTAAAAAACTTGTCTTATAATAATATATACAATGATACCTTAATCAAATATTTTAAAAATTTAGATCGATTATATTTACTATCACTCTAATCTTAATATCCTTATTATTATCATTTTTACTCTGTTGGATCAAATCCAAATTAATATATTCTAAATAGATGGGATTGTTTTCTCTCTTCCTTCTCTCTTGTGCTATACTATGGCTTTGATTTTTCTATAGGTGGTAAATGTTCAACAATGCTCATAAATCCACTCTGCCACAAATATTATTGTTCTCTGCATTTGCTACAATTAAATTATTGTATTTTTAAATGGACTAATGATTTCTGCATCTGTTGTAGAAATTTTCTTTTTTGCCTCATAGAGAGAAATGAGAGATAGAAGAAAGAGAACTTTCTATCTGAGGCAGAAATTTTTCCCCCGCATCATATGCAGAAATCATTAGCCCTTCTTAAATTTAGTTTTTTTTTTTTTTTTTTCTAAATAAAGGAATGGGAACTGAGAAACTCAATCGCTTATTGCTTCACACTCACAAATACTAATTCAAGTACAGTGTATATTACTATTTGAGAGTTTTCAAATCTCCCACAAAATAGAATTACGGTTATATTTATTTTATATTATAGAAAAATAATTGTCTCATGTTATAGAAATAAAATTTAAATAAAATTCACATGTAAAAAAGAGAGAAAAAAATAGATATTGACCCACCTCAATTTTGAGTATATAAAAAGTTGTTTATGTTATGTAAGATAAGTTAAATATAATCATACTTTATATTGGCAGAATGCAGAAACACTGTGAGCCAAAAGAGGTAGAGATAGTCTGATAGACAGCATAACCGAAGAAAAACAATATAATAGAATTCGGTGTGTTTGGAAGCCGATAAGTCAAATATGGTCGGTCTAATTTCATACAAAAAAAATAAAAAAAAATATGGTCGGTCTAACATTGTAAAAAATTGACAGTAACAATAACAAAATTAGAATAATAATAACTATAACCATGCCATTAAAAAACATAGGGAAAACTTCAAAAATTTTGTTATTAGCTTTTTTTATTATCACTTATCCTTTTCACAAATGTTTTAAATTATTTATATCTTTATTTAGATTTTTTTATCACTTACTTCTCTAATTTAAAGTTTTTTTATCACTTACCCCTCACTTAAGAGGATAAATGATAAAAAAACTTTAAGTTAAGAAAATAAATGATTCAAAATTTTGAAGAGTGGATAAATGATTATGAAAAAAATTATAGAAGATTTTTTGAAGTTTTTCCAGAAACATATACTAAAGCACAAGCACATGATTCTACCTAAATTTGAATCGAACCCACTATAGTTTCCATGTGACTGTGTTGTCGAAATTTTGCACACCTTAGCACAATGGATTGCAAACAGATTGTGATTTATAAATGTGTAAGTAACATTACTTATAGTTATAATAAAATTCGAATAAACTATGAGTAGATTTTTATTTTTTTTGCCATTACGAGTATATTTAATAAAGTGAGGATATTCTTACCACTAGAAAATTTACTACCAACTCACTACTTTCATAATCACCATTGGATCAATATTTTCTTCTCAAAAACTTTTTAGCATTCTTTCTCTTTAATCCAATGATAATTGTGAAGGTAGTGGATATTTTTAATAGTAAAAATATCTCTCCTCTATTTAACAAGTGAAAATATCTTAAAAATAGTAGTTGTCGGACAGATCCTTGTGATTTTTGTTAATTTTTTTAAAAAAATGAAAAGGACAAATTTGTCACAGGGCAACTATTATGATTTATGACAGGTCTGCTAGGCGACAAACGGGGAGGTCGGCAACTGTCGGCCGGTGATCTGGGAGAGAGAGATAAACAACATTAAATTTTATTCTTAAAAGCAAAAATTTGTCCATGAGTTATTTTAATCTCATAATAATTAATTAAAAGGAAAAATGTATGTAATTTTAAGATATGTAAAGTTGTATTATGTTTAGAGAAAGAAAAATATGAACATGGTGAAAGAGTGGACAAAAAATAAAAATAAAAGTATGAGTCTCACTTTTTATGATAGTGAAATGACTCAAGTTGTGTTTTTTAAAAGGATAAATATTTTTCTCTAATTAATTAAGGGAAGCGTGTATGTCATTTTAAGTGATGTAAAGTTGAATTATTTTAAGTGAGAGAAAGAGATAAATTATGAGAAAAGAAAATGGATAAAAAAAGAAGGATTTGATGTTTGCATTTTAAATGACATAAGTTATGTCATTTTAAGATAGAGATATGTACAATGAATGAAAATCACGAGACAGAAAATGAACGGTTTTTTATTTTCTTAAATTTTAAATAAAAAATATTATTTTGTGTCTATCTCTTTTGAAATGACATAACTTTATATCATTTAAAATGATAAAACTTTTTCTAAAAAAGAAGTATAGATCGCACTATTTTATGAGAGTGAAATGATACAAATTTACATTTAAAACAAGAAACACTTCTCCAAAATTATTAATTAAACTAAGGGAAATACATCTATCATATTGTAGAAAATTGATTTGTCATGCTATAAACACAATCAATATGTTATGGACTCCACATTAGTTCTGTCTATAATATCACACAACCAGTTTCTTACATCATGAAGGTTTTATAAGAGTTATGTTGTAGAAAAAATGATTGTGTAATGTTATAGAGCTTCATTTTCTGTGTTATAATTTTTTTTTCTTCGAAAAGTATGGATGCAACAAAATATTATGGGTAGAAAAATTTGTTCTCTAGTGTCAAATGACAAATAGAAATCCCACATCATAATATGTCTATTTCCCTTAAACTAAACCCAAGTTTGTGTGACAATTTACGCTTACATGACCATAGTAATAGCAAAGGGAAACGAAACAACCAAATCTGCAATCTCCCTCATTTCCTCTCTTTCTCTTTGTCCCCTCTGTCCTCGTGCGCTTCATCTCCGAACATTTCGCTCTTCGGTTTCAACCTCAATACCAATCTGTCTCTGAAAAAAACCTAACTTACAGATCTTCACAAACCTCAATTTTTCCGATTTTTTTTTTTTTTTTTTGAATTTCCATTTTTATGAACCTGTTTCGATATGACATCATATGATTGCATTTCTTCTCTCTTCTTCTGTTCTGCTGGTACGTCCTTTCTTCCAAACCCTAACTAATTCCTCTTCTCTAATTCTCCTTCTAAAGTTCAATGCCTCCCTTGAGTTCTCCATTAATCTCTGAATCAGATTTCTTTTGTTTTGTTTTTTTGAATAAAAAATTATTATGTATTTTTTAATTTTCTATTGCCGAAGATGATTCCTCGGTGTTGTTTGAGTGAAGATCTTAGCTGGCAATTATTTTTTTGAAGTCGCTTTGTGTTTTGTTGGAGTAATGAAGCTGTTAATATAGAAATGCATTGATTATGTTTGCTCATTCTGAACAAAATGTCCAAATTGATTTGCTTACGTTTTCCACTTTTTTTTTTATTCTTTTGTTTCACAATCTATTCTGAAACTTTAGCTATTTCTACAATTTTTTTTTTCTTTTCTCATGTCATTTGGACGAACTCTTTTCTCCTATATGTATATTTGTTGACCATTCTTGTTGAAAACAGAAAGTGATAGTTTTTTATTTTGAATTGAAGGTCATAGCAAAATTGAATGCCTCACCGATTTTACTTTATCTTGGTTATGGTTATATGGTACCTGTTTTTTTATTTTATTTTATTTTGGGTGTGCTCACTGAATAAATAGAATATTTATACGTAACAACCATTTTTTTTGGTATGAGATTTTATATTTTTTTATGTAAAAGATTGTAGTTATTATTTTAGTTTACTTTTTTCCTGATTGTTATAAAGTCGATAAATTATTTTAATATCATCAAACCGCTACTTACTTTTGTAGGGTTAACTAAACAAAAAATGTAAAATTTTTAGTTGGTTGCAGCAGTATGGGCTGATGCTGGTTTTTTATTCTGAACTAGAGCTGCATTAGTTTTCCCCCCACTATTTTACTAACTTTATTTCTTTCCTCTTTTTGATCCTGGTTAATACTTAATACAGTTTGAGATCAGTTAGCAGCACCAAAGTTTGCACAGTGAATATTAATGATGGATGTTGCTGAGGTTGAAGAAAATCTGTTTGCAGCAAGTGATGCCAAGGTATGATGATATATCTTTAGTTATTGCAAGAGCTGTTTTGGAATTTTAATAAATTAGTACTCTGTACCCAAAAAGAAGGTGCTTATAATATGCAAAATATTTATGCTAAAATGCTCAGATATAATTAAGGAGTCAAATTGCTTTTATATTAGTCATTTAGTTTGCTTGCTTTTATTTTATTTTTTGGGTACAAGTGCTGTTTGAAGCACTTTCAAACAATTTTCTTTTACATGGTTGTCACTGCTGTTTAAGAAAGTGTTTTGAATTGCTGGCCAAACTAAAAACTATCTGGTTTCTTATGCAGTTACATGGAGAAATGTGCAAGGGTCTTTCTGCAATATATTGCAAAATATTTTCATTATTTCCTTCTTTAGAAGCAGCTAGGCCTCGGAGCAAATCTGGAATTCAGGCATTATGTTCATTGCATGTAGCCTTAGAGAAGGCGAAAAATGTTCTCCGGCACTGCTCAGAGTGTAGTAAACTTTACTTGGTATGATTATTATTGTATAGTTTTTCTTTATTTTCTAATTTTGTCTCCTGGTATGTGTGGTGGATTTAATTTACCTTACCACTTTGTACATGTTATTTTTTGTGGTTGATAAGGTTATTTGATCTGAAATACATTTTGTAGAATATCTTTCATGTAACCTTCTCTTATGATGCAGGCTATAACTGGGGATTCTGTTCTTCTAAAATTTGAGAAGGTTAAGTGTGCTCTTGAAGATAGTCTTAAACAAGTGGAAGATATTGTTCCTCAATCCATTGGGTGTCAGGTGATGAATTTCAACAACATGGCTGTATATTGTTTCTTTTATTTTTTCCAAAACAGTTGAATGGCATCTCGTTTGCAATATTCTGGATTCAGTTTTCTTAACACTGACTATTGTATGGACATGCATAAATGGCAATCTTTTCTTGTTTACATTGTGGATATTTAACTTGTTTAGAGTTCAATTTATTTATTTATTTTTTGTGTGAATGGTGTCTGTTCAGATTGAGGAAATTTTGAATGAACTTGCAAGTATGGTATTTGCACTTGACCCATCAGAGAAGCAAGTTGGGGATGATTTAATAGCATTGCTTCAGCAGGGGAGAAAGTTTAACGAATCTAATGACAGTAGTGAACTTGAATGTTTTCATCAGGCTGCTACTAGACTTGGAATCACATCTTCAAGAGTAGCTCTTACTGAAAGAAGAGCTCTTAAAAAACTCATAGAAAGGGCTCGGGCTGAGGAAGACAAGCGGAAGGAATCGATTATTGCATTTCTGTTACACCTTATGAGGAAATACTCCAAGTTATTTAGAAGTGAGTTCTCTGATGATAATGATTCTCAGGGTTCTCAACCTTGTTCTCCCACTGTTCAGAGACCTCTTGAGGATGGTGTTCCTAGCGGCCATTCTCAGGCCTTTGACAGACAGATTTCAAAACTTAGTTCCTTTAATTTTAAGCCAAGTAATAGGAAATCAGGGCAGATGCTCCTTCCACCTGAAGAGTTAAGGTGTCCAATATCTCTGCAACTTATGAGTGATCCTGTTATAATTGCTTCTGGGCAAACATATGAAAGGGTTTGTATAGAAAAATGGTTCAGGGATGGGCACAACACCTGCCCAAAGACTCAACAGAAACTTTCACATCTTTCTTTGACTCCTAATTACTGTGTTAAGGGTCTTGTGGCTAGTTGGTGTGAACATAACGGAGTTCCCATTCCTGAAGGCCCTCCTGAATCTCTTGATTTTAACTACTGGAGATTGGCATTATCAGATTCTGAATCCACAAATTCAAGATCCGTAAACTGTGTCAGCTCTTGCAAGTTGAAGGGTGTCAAAGTTGTTCCTCTAGAAGAGAGTGGCATCGCAGAACAAACTGGGGGAAATGAAACTGAAAGTTTGTCTGCTCAAGAGGAAGATAATGAGCAGTACTCTAGTTTTCTGAAAGTATTGACCGAAGGGAACAATTGGAAGAGTAAGGGTAAAGTGGTAGAACGGTTAAGGCTGTTGCTGCGGGATGATGATGAAGCCAGGATACTTATGGGGGCTAATGGATTTGTTGAAGTACTTTTGCAGTTTCTGCAATCAGCTGTGCATGAAGGGGATGTAATGGCTCAAGAAAGTGGAGCTATGGCTCTGTTCAACCTTGCTGTGAATAACAACAGGTGTGTGTTGACGTTTCTAGTTTTGAACTGTAAAGTAAACTGCATTTAGTATGATTACAAAATTAAAACTGTTAAATGTTATTTGAAAATTGACACCTTGCATTTATCCAACACCATGATCGCTTTTTTATCTTCTAGTAAAATTTTTTAGTATAACAATGATCTGGTTCTGGTTATCTTCTAGCTCTTAAAGAGCCTTAGCCTATATCAGCTGCTGTTGTTTTTGGTTGGCCTCCTGTATTTCAGAAGAATACAGTAGCATAGTGCACGTGGATGTTGAAAATTGATACTGTCCATGTTTAATTACAATTTTTAGTTAGTTAGTGCGTTCCAATAATAAACGGGGCTGAAGTTTGTTGAAGTAATAGTAGAATTAATGTTTCATTAACTCTTTCTGAATTGGCATAATATTTACTTTTGTTTTATGCAAATTATTAACAAAGCTTGGTCCTTTTTTTTTTTCAACAGAAATAAGGAAATTATGATATCAGCAGGAATCTTATCGTTGGTGGAGGAAATGATCTCAAACACTAGTTCGCATGACTGTGCAGCCGCCTTGTATCTGAATCTCTCTTGCCTTGAAGAAGCCAAGACTGTGATTGGAATGAGTCAGGCTGTCCAGTTCCTAATCCAGATTCTTCAAGCCAACACTGAAGTCCAGTGCAAGATAGATTCCCTCCATGCACTCTATAATCTTTCTACTGTGCCCTCCAACATTCCAAACCTCCTTTCATCTGGCATCATCAGTGGCCTACAATCGCTTCTTGTAGGCCAGGGTGATAGCATGTGGACAGAAAAATGTATAGCTGTTTTGATAAATTTGGCTGTTTCTCAAGCTGGAAGAGAGGAAATAATGTCGAGTCTTGGACTCATAACCGCATTGGCTTCGATACTGGATACTGGTGAACTCCTAGAGCAGGAGCAAGCTGCCTCTTGTCTCCTAATTTTGTGTAACAGGAGTGAGAAATGTTGTGAGATGGTACTGCAAGAAGGGGTTATACCTGCATTGGTGTCAATATCAGTGAATGGGACCTCAAGAGGAAGAGAAAAAGCTCAGAAACTCTTGATGCTCTTCAGAGAGCAGAGACAACGTGACCATTCACCAGATAAGACACATGAATGCCCACCTGATGAAACTAGTGATTTGTCCATGCCTCCTCATGAAACGAAACCTTTATGTAAATCAATATCTAGAAGAAAGGTGGGGAAAGCTTTTAGCTTTCTCTGGAAAACTAAGAGCTATTCTGTTTACCAATGTTAAGTTCCATGTAAATCTTTGTTTGGTTCTTAACTTTTTTGACCCTTCTTTTATCCTCCTCTTACTCCTTCTTCCATGTTGCTGCCTACTTTTTGGTTTCCAAAGCGAAGTAGAGATGTACAGGCATGTGTAATTTATTGATTTTGTTTTTTTTTTTCTTCTGTTGCCTTGCTAACACTTATGCAAGTAAGCGCACAAGTATACGCGACAACAAGTAATATAGGGCTTTTGTGAGTCCCAATTATCGTTCTCACAAGGATCTTTGGCGTTTTTGACTTGACTAAAATTGTAATTGCTAATCAGAATCAAAAATAAAATAAAATAAAATTAAACGAACTGCTATTCTAAATCAATTGCAATATTTTTTAGAAGATTTACTTTTAAAAATAGAAATTTAGTTGGTGAAAGAATTTTGAGCTGACTGAAAAATTAATTAACTAAAAGACTCATAAATTTTTTTATGGGTTTGTTTTTTCTGATGTTACTATAGATAACTTTATCTAATGTTCATCAAAACGACGTCGTTTTGGGACGGAAATCATGGTATTTTTGTAATTTTAATTTATTTCAGGGTTATAATAGTCTTTATCACTCTAATTTTTTAATTTTTCAACCCCAAAACGACGTCGTTTCGATGAACATTAGATAAAGTTATCTAAAGTAACATCGGAAACTTTTTTCCCTTTTTTTATATGATTTTCTCTTAAGTTTTAAAACAGAAAATTAAATTCTGATTTGGACGAAAATACAAAGTAACAAAAATTGATTTTAAAAGCAGAGTTTGGAAGCAAGTTGGGTGTCAATTTTTTCTTCCTTCATTTTCCATTAGGATGCTTTGACAAAAAATAGTTATTGCTTCCAGCTTAACGAAAATACTAAAATAACTATTGTTTCCCAACAACAGTTTTCTCCAATAACAGCAGATGACATATCCTTATGTCACTGTTATCATAGGACCTTGAAGTACCATTTCCTAAAGTTACATGGGGGTAACTTCATCCCTGAAGCCATACCCATTGAGAGAGATCTCTCTCAACTTTCCATGTGCTCACAGTGGGGACTAGTGTGAGTTATTTCCCAATAATCTCACACCACTAGGAGTAGCCTATGTGTGATCATCACATAATAAACTCAGCAAAAAAAAAAAAACGCACAGTAAACAAACTAGAATCAACACTTTAAACTTTAAAACATCACTAATAACAAACGAGTTCCGGGTACTCTTTCAACCAAACTCTAAGAAAATTAGCTCATCACCACAGGTTGATGAGCTAACAAACAATAAAGGTACATAATAAAAACAGCAACTTAAAACGTACGACTAGCAAAATATAAAGGCAGAGGCTATCTTCAACAAATAGCTCTGAAACAGTGTTTACAAAAATTACAAAATTCTAAAAACCTAAAAACATAACAGAGAACAGTAAAATAAAAATTTCCAAAGGGAAAATAAAAAATCCCAGAAGAAGGAGAAGAGAAGAGACCTACAAATGCTTTTATCTCCTCCTTTATAGCTGATCCCAGGTCACCTCCTCAACACGTACGTATGCTCCTCGCTCCACTCGATCGTGCGTGTCCCTTGTACGATTAGCAACGCACCAAAAGGAATCTCCAGCCACCACTACTAATAACCTCCAGCTCATCAAGTCGATTGAGGGACTTGTTTGGATTTTTCTGTATCGCACAAAAATCGGCTAGTGTTTGTGATTTGGTTGGTTTGATTCAAGAATTAAACCGTGAGTGAGGCTAGGGTTCTGTGATTTCGACCGAAATTGAAGGACGGTCTAGATCGGTCAAGGGATTTAGAAGGATCGGTTGAGATGAGGGTCTAAATGAAGGTGGGTTTGCTTGAACGGTTTGCTGTGCTAGGGTTTTTTCCTTATTTCAACTTTTCACGCTACTAAGTTCTTTTGCTTCCCATTCCTTTCTTTTCCTTCTTTTCTTTCTTTTCTGATTTGGGCTTTTCCCAAAATTGCTTCTTTCTTCCTTCGATTTGGGCTTCTGATCAGCAAGGATTAGCCCATTCTTCCTTTATTCTTTTCTTTTCTGACTTGTATTGTAACTCAGCCCAAGCTTTTCTTTCTTCTCTTTGCTTGTAGAAATAACACCAATTGGGCCTGAAAAATACAAAATCAGCCCATTAGCACTCAAAATCAGAATCCTTCATTTCTATGCAATATTTGGGGTTTATATTAACAAAAGATATCCTTTTCATTCCCATTTTAACATCAAACTACATGTTCTAAGTCACAAATCATGGACTTATCACACCCCCAAACTTACATTGTTGCTTGTCCCCAAGGAACAAATTCACTTCCAATCAGCAAAACAATAAGCATGATAATGTATCAACTCTTATCTTCACATGTAATCTCATTTCCAATCAAACAGATTTTTCAAGATAAGTTCAATGACCAAACTCACAAACTTTGTACATCAAAACAGCTGCAATTGAATCAACCAATCAAACAACTTGAGTAAACATTCAATTCATCAAAAACACTCAACAAACAGTGTGCAAATCCATATTCAAGAATGTACTCAATGGCTAATGGAACAACATCAGAGAAGATCTTGATTTTCACTTCTTAACAACAGGGAACAAAATTATCACAACAAATAATTGAGAACACTATAATGACTCACTTCATCTTCACATTTTCATCCAGTGTCTCAAGGATCTGTTTCTCTCCATACCTTACTAGGAATAGCCTTAACATAGGCTTGATAAGATGCTAAAGTCTCCTAAGTGCAACAACAAGTTAAGGCTAAATCAAAGGGACTTGCCATGGTTATACTTTGGCTGAGGTGTAGGTGGGGTATCTGTGGGAATAATGGCTAAGTTGTGATGGAAAAACACATTTCAGAGGCACTTGGTTCAAAAATCTTAGTGGCTGCTTCTTCTACTGCTGAATGTTTTTTTTCTTTTATTTATTTACTCTTTTTTTTTTTTTTTTACATGCATCAACAAAGAAAAAATAAACACTCAGTTTTCTGTACACAACAACATTTTTCATTTTTCTTCAACCAACAGTGACTTGCCTCAAGATGATGGATGGGTCTCATTGTGGTTACAAAAAAAAAAAAAAACAAGGCTCAAGCTCAAATGGGTTTCCAATGGTCAATAATTCTAGGATGACTTTTTGGCTCAACAAGGCTATATGAAAAGACTTCCCTTATCATTTCAAACCAGAACAAATGCTACACTTACTCACTAAGCATCAAACCAAGTTCTGTCTCATCTATCCAAGTATGGCTCTCTCATGAAAAATAACTCAACTGTTTAAGCTCAAATCCTCACTGGGTTAGGTTAAATTACCCTCTCAATCACCTATTGATCCAATTTTATTCCCTGCCTCAATCCATTAACATCATCAATCTCTTCCTGATATCATCCCTTAGCCATCAAAACACTCTTCTCTCTATCTATATTCACACAACTAACAGCTGAGCATTTTCTAAAAAAAATCCAATCTCCTTAATCAGAATTCATCTACTGCTATTTTATGCACAAGACCAGAAATCCTTTTTTTTTAACAGCAAATAAAAAAACTACTAACATCACATAACAACAAGAAACACAACAATTAATCAAACTAAAAACAACAAATCATTTACTAACAACTAATCAAAATCCATATTCACAAAACTCACAACAGCAAATGAATTAATCTCCCCCAAACTCAAATTAAACAGTGTCCTCACTGTTGCAGAAACAGGCTACCAAAAAAAATTAGGAACAAGGTAACCTGGGGCCAGAAGAGGTTCTGGCCTACTCATCCTCAAAATTTGAATCTGAACATGCATCATTGTGGCTTTTTTTTTTCATCCTCTTTTTCTGCTTTCTTTTCTTCACCATTCTGCACCATCTTCATTTCACTCATTTTCTTGGTCTATTTCTCTTCTTTGGTGTAGATAGTGTGGGTTCTTTTATAGCTTAAGGTGCCAATGTTGCAGTTGAAGGGGGAACACTTGATGGCTAAGCTTGTGGTTCTAATTTGCTTCAAAATCAAGCAATCCTCCACTTGAAAAGTGTTGTTCAGTTTCCCCCAAACTCAAAATTGACTCACTACAGTGATGAATCAACTTACTCTCTCATTTGACACCTGTAAAACAATATCAATGTAAATGGTGAAAATTTTCCATTAAAATCAATTTTTTTTCTTTTTTTTTTCTTTTTGAAAGCTATTTTGCAGACTAGTCAAACTAACTTTGAGATAATATGCAGCAAACAAAGAAATAAAGGAGTCACAGAAAACACACAACAAAAAAGAAAAAGAAAATATAACATGCTTAGTTTATAGTCTTTAGGTAGAATTTTTGCTTCCTTTTCCTAATCAGTTTCAATCAGGCTCTCTTGGGAAGATAGACACCTTCTCTTTATCATCTCCCCAATAGTGTTTGACCCCTTTTTCATCAACCTTGATTTTTCTACCATCTTGCTCAACCATTATTTCAACAGCTTCATGCAAAAAGACTTTAACAACTTGAAAGGGTCTTAACCACCTAGACTTTGGCTTCACAGAAAATAGCCTTAGTTGTGAATTAAGAGGTAAAACTAGTTGCCACGTATCCCACCATTTCATGACCTCTTTCTGCAAGATTGGATTATGTCTTCTTTGTTGCTCAATGAAGTTTCTTTTTGGGCCAGACAACAGAATCTCATGCATGCCTAAGATTGGGCTAATACTCTTAACATCTACTATGATCCAATTTTTGGTTTTTTTAAAAATTTATGCACATTCAGCAAATGTTTTTTCTCAAAAATAGTAAGGAAATTAGACACAATGATAGGCAATGTGTCTTGTTTTCTTAAATAGGCATACCTAAGATTGGTGGGCAAAAGCTTAAGTTCATTGATTAGTGGAACTTCTATGGATGACCAAGGAGATTTGAACTCTTTTTTTAAGCAGACTTAAGGACACAAACTGCTTTTCTTTCCAAAAAGGTGCAGGTTGAAATTCCACACAACCTATACTCTCCTCTAAATTCTCCTTATTCACCTCACACTCATCTAAAATAGCCATTTCTATTGGGTCCTTGCCATTCTCCTCTTTAAACCTATCTTTAACCAAATGGTCAACTATACCCACAAGAGAAT